TGGTAGCTTTGTTTCAAACTTGTCAGAGAAAACACATATCCTCAGACAACTTTTAAAGAAAGAAATAGAATGGCATTGGTCACGTGATCATCAAAATTCATTTGAGTGCATAAAAAAGTGCCTTATCAACGCTCCTGTATTACAGTATTATGATGTGAACAAGCCAGTAGTTATATCGGTAGACGTAAGTAAGAACGGGCTCGGGGCATGTTTATTACAAAATAATCTACCTGTTAGCTATGCATCTAGATCCCTTTCAAAAGCTGAACAAAATTACGCTCAGATAGAAAAAGAACTATTAGCGTGTGTCTTTGCGTGTGAGAAGTATTATTCCTATATATACGGTAAGTCAGATATAACAATTGAAACTGATCATAAGCCTTTGATACATATAATAGCAAAGCCGATTGCAACGGCACCTGCCAGACTGCAAAGAATGTTATTGCGTTTACAATTATATACATTTAATTTAGTATATAAGCCAAGCAAATATTTGTATATTGCGGATGCCTTGTCACGTGATGCAGAACCGATAGGTCACACAGAGCATGATTTAAAAAACTATTTTAATAATCAAGCACAAATAAACGCAATAATTACGTCAAATCCTCTAACAGATACTCATTTTCTTTACAGCACGATACACAAAACGATAGTCAGTTACAGTTATTAATTAAGTATATAAGAGATGGTTGGCCTGAACATAAACAAAACATATGCACAACTGTGGCTCCTTATTGGTGTTATAAGAATGAGTTGTCCACGTCATATGGATGAGTCTGGAAAGGACACCAAGTAGTTGTACCTAAAAGTATGAGAAGCGAAATGTTAAAAAAAATCATATTGGACATTTAGGATTAGAGAAATGTAAGTTACGAATAAGAGAAAGCATGTTTTGGCCCAACATTAACAGCCAGTTGGCAGATTATATAGGTAAATTTCAAGCATGCCTTACTTTCAAAAACGAAAACAGAAAAGAAACGTTAATACCGCACGAAATACCAAACAGGGCGTGGTCAAAGATAGGGACGGATTCGTATTATTTCCAAGGTGAAAACTATTTAATTGTGATAGACTATTACAGCAAATTTATAGAAATAGTAAAAGTTCCCGCATTAAAGAGTGAAATTATTATAGACCAATTAAAAAATATATTTGCTAGGTACGGTATCCCCGATGTTGTTATGTCCGATAACGGCCCAGAGTATAATTCGGAGTATTTTAAATTATTTGCACGCGAATGGAATTTTAAACACATAACATCATCACCTCGTTATCCACAATCAAATGGTCAAGTTGAAAGAGCTATACAAACAATAAAAAATATTATGAAAAAGACTCAGTTCGACCGCACTGATTTCCGGCTTGCTTTACTTCAATACCTAAACACGCCAATCAGTAGTAATTTACCTTCACCGTCCGAGTTATTGAACAGCAGAAAATTAAGAACAATCATTCCCTGTGCACCACGACTACTGCGTCCATTTATCCATAGAAACGTTAAAAGTAAACTAAATCATAGACAAATGCAACAAAAATATTATTATGATAAAAGAGCAAGAGATATGTATACCTTAAATGTAGGTCAAAGAGTTAAAGTGCGAAAAAATAAGCAATGGCTCAGCGGAGTTGTTAAATCATTAGTGGGTCAACGTTCATATCTCATAAAGTTAAATAATGGTAGAACTTTAATTCGTAACCGTCGGCATTTAAATATCGATCCTGGGGTTATCTCACACGAAAACGAACAACAGGGTGAAAGTCTACCTTATGATGACATCGATGTAAGGAAATTTCAATCTACAAACCCACGCCTAGTTCATTCACATCAGCCCCAACAAGCAAGTTCTGAACCATATGTTTCTCGGTTTGGCAGGATGGTGAGACCGCCTGATAGGTGGGGAGACCCGGCTTCTAGTGCATCTCGGCAGGCATTATAAGAAAATTTGCCTGAGTATCAATTTTATAAATAGTTTCAAAAATTATAGAATTTAAATACATTATTTTCTCTAAATATTTAATTTGTAATTTTTTTTGCTATATTTAATAATATTTTATGTCCGTGTCTTTTTGATTATAATTTGCTTATTTAAATATTCAAGGTAATATTATGTACAATGTAAATTTCACAAAAACTTAATCTATTTTAAATGTTATTTTAAACAATGTAATGAATATATCAAATCAGTGTAAAATCAATATGCAAAATAAAAGAATCCATTAATTTAAATTATATTATTAATTATAAGTTATTTATACACAGATTTAAATTTTCAAATTATGATATAGAATGAAGTATAAAACTAAAAAAAAAAATATGTAATAAATAAAATGTATATGTATGTAAAATTAAATGTATGTAAAATTAAAATGTATAACATATAAATGTTCATTATATTAATATTAATAAAAAATCGCATGATTATGAATTGATTGTTTATAAAAACAAAAAATGTTTTTTAACTTTTGTTGTTATCTTCAACCTATATTTATAAAAAAGGGGGTTGACGGTATATTTATTATAAATGTGGAGGGTAAGTGCGCAGCAATAATAAAGACAGCATGTGAATCTCGGTGTTTCATTACGTGTCCCCCGTACTCGACACAATGGATTGTTTAGGTGTGTTACTTTTTTATTAAAAAAAATAAAATTATGATAGATTATAAATTAAAATACCTACTAAAGACCTGATAAGGTCTTTAGTAGGTATTTTCTACGATTATTATAATTAAAATGATAATTTTCAACGATTATTATAATTTCAGGTAGGCACTTTGCTAAGCAAATAATAAAAACGATTTGCGTAAAGATATTACAAAAATTCAGACTTTCAGCACAAAAGGAATACAAAAATCTACGTGTAGCAATATCTATATCCACTGAACCTATTGATGGATGTAACATAATCATGACTGCAAGAAGTTAGAGCTTTAGTTATATTATTCAATAAAACGTTTTTGAGAAAATTATAAAAAAAGTATTTATATTTATCTTCCCTCACACGAGCTTCTAGTAAAATGAGACAAGCAATCAAAGTTCATTTTTTCGTGCCATATGACTGCCGTCATTATGGCACAAAACGTAAGCAACTGCTTCAAGTGATTTAAAACAGATTTCTCCACTCACTGGCGCTTTTTTGTATATGAGAAACGGTGAATTGCACATAAAAGCACTACCCTTCCAACTTCCTTAAAGAAGCGTCGCTAATAGAATAAATTCATATCATACAAGTCTATTAATTAAGGCCTTCGGGGTTTTTCCGACACCCCACGGACTGAGCATTCAGTGTGGCGCTACGCCGCCACATAATCGTTTTGAAGTTAATTGTTTTCGTAAATTTTTAATTTCCGCAAATGGTTATTTTTTTCCTTATCAAACGCGCACGAACCACTAATGACGTGGCAAATCCTTGTCTTAATCCACCTGCGACGACGAGGCTTCACCGTCGTCGAAGAGCGTATACGGTAGCAAGGCAGATTCGATTGAAATAGCCAGGAAAAAAAAGCAGGCCATAAACGTGTGCCCTCTCAGAATTGACCGGGTCTCAATTCCCGTTGTATGGAAACCTAGCCCGATTAGGTGATCCGTGATTATAAGACGCCGATTCGAGTCATATATCATAGGATTCGCAGGTCGAGTCGGAGATTATTTCAAGGCGATTTGATAGACCTGAAAAAAAACAAAGCGTCTTAAGGGGCCCATTCACTACGCCGTGCAAAACTGCAAAACAGGATGTACTTGAAGTTTCGAAAAAAAAAAGAAGATAGCGATTCTGCTATATTTTTTTTTGTTGTTAGATAAAAGTCTTTGTTAATAAATAACCTTTCCTCACATTATCATACTGATACACAAAAAATTTAAGTAATAACCTAAGCTTTTCTCAAGTTGAACTATTTCAATATAAAATAGTTTTTATCTTAGTTTTAGTTATCACATCAGTTGGGTGTCCCGGGATGCACTCGTTTTTTTTTTGTTTAAAAGCAGATGGCACCTTCATAATTTTCTTATTTTTATTATTTATATCCTTTTGCAGTATTTTATTGTTTTATTGTAATTAATTATTTGCATCCAATTAAAAACTATTTTTAATGATGTAAGACGTACATAAGTACACGCACTCATTTACGCTTATACTCCGCGGGAACTTCAATCGTCACTTGCCGTAATCTACTCTAAACAGTCAAATTAGTACAACAGGCAACAAAATTGCACGTATTTTTTGACGTTACTCGTCCATTTCGACAGAGAAAGACCACAGGATTTGCTCATTCATTTGCTGAAAACAGTCACTACTCAGTACTCACTAGTCCGGTGCCCACCACTGGCCCCTGTAGTGTATTTGTAATCGCTACGCGCCTCTGTCCTTGACCAATGTAAATTGGGCATTAGCAGTAAAGTAAAGATGAGTCCTGGGTTTGACTCGTTTTCAGTATATGTGTCTTATCTATGGTTTGACTTCACCACTGACCAGATTTTTTTCAGATGTTTAGTACTCTTGGCTTATAAGTCCTTGATACCGGGCCATAAAATCCAAAAAAAAAAATATTTAGTACTCTTTGACTTTGACATGACTAGAGATTGAACAACTTGTAGACTTATTACTAAGTTTCGATAATCGATTCTCAGTGCTTAGTATTTAGTACCGATCAAAAACGGAAAACCTTTTGGAAATTGATTCGGAAAAAAAAATATATTATATTCAATATAATAAACAATGCATGTGTTTTGTGATCCATTGATATCCATTTTATTTATTATCCAATCAACAACGAACGGACTCTCAACTGAGTGGGAGTGACAGGGACAGGATACACATCAAATCAAGCAACAGACATCACTCATCAGGTTTTGATTTGATGATTGTCGTTTCAAGTTTGAGGTTATTTTTGTAACTTTGACCTAAAAATAAATTATAACTAACAATTTGTATTAATGCTTCCATAAAACTTGGTTGTAATTGTTTTAAATAAGGGAAAATTTATATCTTATTTTATTAATAATGGCTACTTTTTCAAGACTACATAAAATCGCTCTCTTAAGTTTAGGCGCCGTAGGTGGTAGTTTAGCGTATTATACAATAGGCAAATCTGAAAAGAAATTTGATGTGCAAAACTCTTGGACTGTAAACTATACTCCGAGTGTGAAATGGGAAAAAAATTGGGACCGGTAAGAGATGTATTTTTTCGCTTGTTTAAAAAAATCCAATGACCTAGATGTAAACAAACGCGTGTCCATTACAGGAAAATTGTATTATTAAGTAAATCATTGTTGCTATAAGGGCTTACCTAGTGTAATAAACTTATTAATTCAACACTTGACATCTTAAACCACTTGTTTTGTTTCACCCACCTCTACGATTTTCATTATACGTGTCGTTATTTTAGTCGCGAACCTCAGTCCATTGTTAAACCGGCATCCCCGAGTAAACCAGAGGATGAGAACCGATATAATGAACAGATTGAGAAGGCGAAAAGCAAAGCCGTCAGACATTTGTTCCTCATCAGACATGGGCAATACAATCTCGAAGGAGCTACAGATAAGGAAAGGGTCCTAACAGAGCTAGGTAAACCATGATATGAAATAAATAAATAAAAAAAAAATACTGTGCATAAGGATCTATGTTCTATATCATAAAAGTAATTTATGTTTGAATAACTTAAATTCTATTAAAAGCAGTTTACGAAAAAGTAATGTCAATTATGTATATGATTGTTTAAAATTTCAGGTAGAATTCAAGCAGATCTGACTGGTAAGAGACTTGCCAGCTTAGACATTGAATGGGATTTATTAGTACGATCCACAATGACTCGAGCACAAGAGACTGCATGTTTAATAGCAAAGCATCTACCTAATGATTTAGAAGTAAAAGATTGTCAACTTATTGAAGAAGGCGCACCCATACCACCTGAACCCCCAGTAGGACATTGGTCACCAGAACCCAAAGTAAGTAAATATGTAAACATATTTTCATTATTGTCACTGGTGGAACATTTTAAATTAGTATTCAGCAGTGATATTTTATGAAGCATATTAGATGATATGGCATGAAACGCATTACACTATACGCATAGATTTTTTGTTTTATTCTAAAAATGTCCAAATATTGTAATGTTGATTTACAACTAAAATGTTTTTAAAGATAATTTTGAAGGTACATTATTTTATACTTGGATAAGTTTTAATTCAAAATATTTTGACATTTTTTTCTGAATAGAATTTTCTTAGTGCCATAAGAGTGACAATAATATATTCATAAAATACTTTAATCAATTTCCATAAATTTGAAGAGTTCATCCAATTTTTTTTAAATATGGTGTTTTCAATTATGTAACTAATAAATAATCTGATAATTCTGTATTTTATGTTGTTTAGTTAAAATAAATGTTAAAGTATTTTGATTACAAAAATAAGAGAATATCTATGCTGTGAACACATAATGACCAAAAATTATCAAATACTGTCAAAATAGAAATTTTGTTTTTATTTGATTCTACATTCTCTTATTTTTACACAATTTGTATAAAGACATTATTTACCCTTGTAATATATTAACAGTGCATAATTAGGCCCAGTTTTGCATACCTATTATCATTTAACTTGAGTTACACCTATTATTACATACCTATTATCATACAACAGTTGAGTTGAAATAGCTAGATAAATTACTAATATCTTGCTTCACTTGTACTCATTTAGAATTAGAGAATCTGCATATGTTCAACATATAAAATTATTTTAAATCAATTACTATTCATTTGTTTGCAATAATTTCATGACTAAATGATTTTAACAAAGAAACAAAACTTGTCATTTACATGTCATAATTTTTGCTTATAAAATATTATGTAACAGTATTTAAAAAGTGTTGGATTGTTTGATAGTATAGGGTACTAGGTTAAAAGCAATTCTGGGCACTAAATTAACAAAGTACGGTTGGGCACGTGTAGCAGTTCTTCCAGGATGGGGCGCGGATAGAAGCTGCCTTCCGACGCTACTTCTACAGAGCACCACCTGAACAGACTAAGGACTCCTACACAATTCTCGTGTGTCATGCAAACGTCATACGGTTCTTTGTTTGCAAGTGAGTAACAATATACTGTTCTATACAAAAGATACTTAGTAAGGGCATTAATGTGAAAGGCAGCACTAGGTCTTTAAATCTGATTGCTTACAGGATATAAAAGCTGTTAGGTCTGTATTTATTTAAAAAGTTTTTTGTTTAATTTCTTTTTATTCTGCAAAGAAAAAAAAGGTATTAACTGTATAATTTCTTATTATTTTTTTTATTGTATAACCTTGGGATAAATTTTTATCTTTGCAGATTTCGGATATAATATTATATGCAGATTATAAATATAATATGTTGATAAAATCGTTTTTCATTTTACAGGGCTCTACAGTTCCCGCCCGAGGGTTGGCTGCGTATATCGCTCAACCACGGCTCCATAACGTGGGTCTCAATTCTGCCGAACGGGAACGTAGTTTTGCGAGCGCTGAGCGACACCGGCCACATGGAGCCGAAACACATCACCAGCCGGTAAACAGCGCTGATTGCTCCTAGCATAAATAAAAAATTTAATAGTACAATGTATCCGGCGAAGAATTGTGTAAAGAAACATTTTTTTTAACGCAACATTTTTTTTTCTTAACGGTTTGTTCGCTTTGGTTACATTCATACACATGGAGACATAGCGGATAGAACCCGAGGGGGTAGGTTTATTTGCAAAGCTCACAAAAGGAGTACTTACTGTCATAAATATTTTCGGTGCCATACTATAGTAACTACAGTATGGCCGAAAATATTTATGATCGAAACGAATCCAGCACCTCTTAGAATAATTTACCGTTATTACAGATTATAAGTAATAAACGGAATGATGGTATTTAAATACTTTTCTGTAGTAGAACTATACAGATTTTTTTACTGCGACTTTAAAAAAAATGTTGCCCGAGTGCTTTCACAAACCTATTTACAATTTATATGCTTAAAAGTTATTGAAGCACAGAACTTTTGTATGTTTTTTTATGTTTTGTATGTTTTAAATAGTAAATTGATATAAAATAATAACTATATTTATGTTTAGTGTTGAAGCTAAGAAAAAGTTTAAGTGTACATGAAGTTTCTTCTTAGTTTTAATAATTTTGCGGAAAAAATTGTTTACTGTTATTATATTGATAATATTAATAAATAAACAATGGTTATTCGTACGACACCTTTAGTGTCGAAGTGCTACTAGGTCAAATTTATAAGTACACTAGATACTGCTGATTACAATAATTTATTTTATATTTTTATTATGTACGTTAATTGTTAATTAAATCCGTTTTACGTCCGCTAGCGTTCGCTAAATCAATTGTTAAGCATTTAAAATAAAATAGTGCTAATGATTAAAGGCGGGTGTTTTTTGTAATTTCCCGCCATACGCCATAACGACTCTGACATTTGTTTTTTTTTTTTGTTTATGGCATTTTCATCCTTAGTACCAGTGACGAGTAAAGTTTTGTTATATTATAGCCGACCCCAAAAGACCTCCAAACGTCGTAAGAATGAAAAAGCTCAACAGAGCTAAGCAGAAATTGTATATTATTGTTTACAATGGGAGAGGGCGAAGAAGATCACATACTGGGACGTTGAATATAGTATCGAAAAAGTTCTGATTTTTGCAGCGATGGTTGTTAAGTAATTATTTTAAGGGGAAATTGAATGATAATCCAATGTAGAATAAAATCAAATGTTACATTTAAGGTTTTATGAAACGTCTAGTAAATTGTCGAGTTGACGGCGTCCTGACACTGATTTTTAATTGTTTTATACAGGTTTTCTGACGTTGTGATCTACTAATGATGACAGAACAAAAAATACTTTAATTTTTTTTTTTTCGCTGAATCGGATGTCGCTTTTTTTTTAAAGAAAACAAGAAAATACTCGAACTTTTAATACTTTTGCTATAGTAAAAATCAGGAAAATCTAAGAGTTGTCTCTCGATTAGTTATGATCGATGTCATACTTAAAGACCTCAGTACCTCTTATATCAAGTTACATTGGCGTATGATAAGCCGTTTGGCAGTCTGTCATCGTAGAGTGAAGCGTGGAGCTCAAACTGGCAAAGTACCGTAACGAATTCAAATAAATCGCGAATTCATCTGGTTTAAAAATTATCTTTTTTATCTTTGAAACTACTAAACTACTACTATACTAGTAACTAGACGGTAGGCACGAAATATTAAATTTCTTTTTCCTGTTCGACGATGGTTCGGCTAAACTTGAAATGTTAATATTTTTGCGACCGTAGAAATCTTCGACGATATATTAAATTCGCTCTCAACCAACAGGAATAGTGAACCTCGAAGAGACCTACCCGCTTTCAAAAGCTGCTAATGAGTTTCACAATAAGAAAAGGATACTCTTTCGAGGGAATTAATGTTAATTTCTACGCAAGTGCCCATACCTAAAATTCCCGTAATATGGTTCGGATCTCTTCGTGTCATATTTTTTTAAAAAGTTGTTTATTTTACATTTCATAATTTCATTTAGATCGATCGGAATACAATGATATATGATCGTATGCTAAGTGGAAATATATGAATGGGGGCTGTATGGTACATTATTTATTTCTGTTGCTATTTTTTAAATCATTCATTAGAGCATTTACAATAAGTCAGGTATGCATAATACAAAACAAGGTTTTCCCATTTGGTAATTTTTTGATGTCTAATACTGCCATTACAATAGCTTTGTTATTGTTACCATATAAAAACATGTTAAACTTTGTAAATAATTATATATTCATTTATATTTCGCAAAGTGTAATGAATTGTAAATACTTTTATAAAAATAATAAATATTATAGAAAAAATACGTCTTTTCATTTATTCCAGAACATAAGTTATCTGTAACATACAATGGTGGCGCATATCAAAGTGCCCGCTGCCTGACCATAAAATGTTGTTTTTAATCATGGACAAACAGAAAACTTTTTTGTTCTTCCATGGTTTTAAGGTGTACAAATAAAACAAGACGACGTATGTGTATAATCTATTTATTTTATTATATTGGTCAATTCACAACATTGATATTACGATCAAAAATTTTTATTTGAAATAGAAGTTAAAATTGAAGTAAATAGTATTAACTAGGCCGATGTTTAGTTAAACCTGAAGATAGTTTAAACGTAAATTTAAAAGACTTTATTAAAACCAATAAGAAAATTTCTAGGTAAATTTTAAAATTTAGAGATTAATTTGGATTATTTTTTTTAATTTCAGTGCTAATCTGCACTCTAGATGAAATAATGTGAGTTTAATTGACATTAACACTTTCGCGCCGTCACAATATAGGTCACTTATGATACGCAACCTCTATCGCATATCCAAAAACTGGCCTACTGAAATTCTCTCTCGAAAACGTTCCTAGCTCTTAGACTATTCGCTCATGGCTAGAACTTGTAAGCGCGTTAACCCGAAGATGCAAGTTCGAATCCCGCAGCGCTTTCGATCATAATAATCTATTAAACTCACATTTCAATTTGAAGACAAAATTTAAAAACTATGCATCTAATAATATTAACCTCGAAAGTTGATATGATTTGTAAAACTTTGGCACAAAGCTTCATGCTATAATAGAATCTTATAAATTTTTAAAACCTGCCACAGTAAAATGCTTTAGGCGTCTATATTAATTCTAAGAATGCATCGTTAAAGGCTAACTTTGCTAAGTACAGAGGTTGATTAAAAAAATCTAAAAAATAGGTCGCAGCAAAACAACCCACTCCGTTATTAAAAGATTTTATAAGAACCTAAGTAATTTATATAAAAACTGATGAGGCTATATTCTCAATTTAATTATTAATTTTAAAAAATTAGGCATATTTATATGATATGTCATAAATTATCCGACTCAGATCTTAAACCGTAAAACATTCACACGTCTGTTATAGGTTCAAATCTTAATTAACAGTCCATTACATACATAACATACAAAATAAACACACACTGTCTAGCTAATTAAACAATACAATGCTCGAGATGTTTCGCAGGAAAAAAAATCCTGGAGAAAAATTTGTATAAACTGATTTTTTTCCTATATCGCTCTCTGCTCGTCACTTATAGCGGGTACAAGATAAAATCGTAAAGATAATAGCTTTTCTGTATTAGAATTAGAAAAGATCAATTATTAATGTTTGAAAAAAGAACATTATTTTTTAAACGGCGGTAACAGTCCGTTGCGTGAGGCCATCGGTGCCATCGGCCGCGTCGTCCTCGTCTTCATCGTCACAAGCGTCTTCCGGTTCGCCGAGAGCTCGGACGAACTCTGATAAATGAAGATTAAATTTTTTTATTGTGTGAACTTTTTGATATTACCTCTCCCGTACTCGTTAATTTAAAGAGATTAGAAAGTATGCATATTAAACCAAAAATTTAAATGATCATAAATAAACATATATACTACTTATATAGGTTAAGACGCTGTCTTTTATCACAAACAACTTTACAGTATCGTTTTGGAAGTTCTTGTTGATTTGATTTCTTACGTGAGAAAATGAAATGTTGCGAGGTGTTTTGACGACAAAAAGTTACTTATGCCATCCTTTATAAAAGTGGATTCCGATTACCTCACTCACAACACTAAACACAAAATACTACTAATCACGCGGGGCTTCCCTGAGGTGGTACTTCTTCGGAGGAGCCTGCCCATTCGTGCAACAGTATAGATGTTGCGTCACCATATCGCTATTAGCCCAGTCAGATAACAGCTACCGATCGAGCCGAGGTCCGGCCCTCTCGGGCACCCTCAAATCGGAATGCTAACGCGTGCTGAGTTGTCACTTGGGCTGTCGCCCAAGCCGAGCTCGGAACTCGGGGACCCTTGAGCCTGATCACTCCATGGAGAGCCCGTCAAAGCACCCTAAGAGCTTTGGCGGGCGCTCAGCGGCCCCCCAAACCGGTAATAATAATAGCGTGACGGCCCAAGCCGAGGTTCCCTCGAGAGCCCTCTAGCTTAGTCACCATAACGCGTAATAATAATACGCGACGTTCAGGCTAGGCGCCTCGAGCGCCCGGCCACCAACAGTCCGTCGGATCTGTACAGGCCCCTAAGGCCAACAGTGGCTCAGCCAGGCAAAAAAAAAATACAATATCGCTATATTATTCGCTCTCATGCTTACCCAAAAAGTCTATCCGTCCGTCCCCGTCCGAATCCACTTCTTTTATCATGTCTTCGACTGTGAATTAATTAATGAAATATTTAAAACATATAGGTACTAAAATGTTTTTGATGGACTAAACTAAATAAACATGAAAGAACTTTTACTTTGAAACGTACTAACAAATATCTTACATTATACTCAGTTAGTTCAAAAAGCTGGGGTGAAACAATCTACTAAAATGTAGATATCGTTTGTGCAAGTAGCACCATTTTCGAAAGAATTGCTTTTCAATTTGTAAATAGTACATTTTTGATACACATTAAATGGTAATGAGTACACAAAGGTTAATAATTATGCACACTTGGTTCAGTAATGGGGAAACAATTATTTATACAGGTAGAAATAGTCTTTCATTGCAATGCATAATCTTCCGGTTATGAGATAAAAATTATTTAGGAACTTAGTACACCGAGAGTATTGAATCGCCACTTGGGTTGGGACTGTAGCTAGTGCTAATAAAAGTACTGAGATTTCGAGAAATTTCAAACACTGGCCTCGCTAAACTTAAACTCGAGACACATTTGAACACTAGATGGCGATGAAAACGTCCGAAACGCTAAGTCCGGCCAAAATAAACTAAAAATTCCGATTACGGCCGGTTTCGATATTCAATCTACACACAGATTTGGTAACTGGAGATATAATTTTGACGTAAGTATTATGGCGCTGATGTCAAATACCTATCGCTTAATACCTTTCGCTCGCTATTGGTTACTAGCAAATCTATCTGTAGACAGAATATTGAAACCCACCATCAATGAGTGTTCTTCTTGTGCGATGTGTGATTGTTGATGTGTATCTATACCCACTTTCCTCCTCGGAAAGGTCCTCCCCGAGACATTGCAAGACGGCCCTAAGGTCTGAGGCGCATATGTAGCCGCGGTTGTGCTTGTCGAAGACGCGGAATGCGTCGCGTAGCTCCCTCTCCTCCTGCTCAGCGCAGCCACCGCCGCTGCCGGCCGACATCGACTTCGAGAGGATGTTCACGAACTCCTCGAAGCTCACGTTCCCGTCCCCTGGTCAGACGAGGCGTCTAACTCAAAGTCAGGCAACGAATTTGGGTCGTCTGGTGTCGCGTGTCCATGGGCGGCGTACACTTGCCATCAGGTGGCTCACATGCTCGTTTGCCTCTTTATCCATAATAAAATGTGTTAAGTGATGAGGCGGACCGCACACGCGGGCCGGCTACTTCCGAATGAAGCTTGTCAACCTTTGTGTCGATGGCCAGAGATGCAACAAATCCTCTGTTGTATCTCTCACGACAGACGAAACGAAAAAGTTTTGTTAAGTTTTGTTACCGGCGATAAATGTTTAAATTGCAAATCGAATTTTCAACCATTTGTTCATCGTTATAATAATAATAAAATATCTTTATTCACATAGACGCTTGCGCGTTCTTATGAAACGTCAAAATTTTACAAGAAATTAACACGTTCGTAAGTTACCACCACGTTGATTATTGTTAGATTTATATTTTAGGCTATTGGCTTTAAATTTATACCAAAACATATAAACCTCTTAATTTAGCGTGCTGAAATTATTATAACATTTAAGTATATAATTGATTTCATTACATGAATGTCACGTTTGCATTATCATCTTAAATTTTAACGAGACAAAACGTCAAAAGATTAATTTTAAATACGTCATCTGATCATTTTGACGATAGTTATAATAGTGAAACATTTTCATTTTTCTGTTTATTTTAGGCTAACGTCATACGTGGGAGGTTTTTATACAGGAGGCAAATGCGTTGGTTGCACATGGACGCCGTTTTAAGACATATGGCTTGCGAGCTTGCGATAACAATTCCACAAGTAGTTGCGGCAGAAAACATCTCGAAAATCGTAAGGTCGTCAATGGCCAATTGATGATGCAGTATACATAGTTTATTGCATTTTGTAGCGCTGTACTCGCAGTGAAATGTTGTGACTGGAATCTAAATTGAAGGAACACTTGCCGTCGCTGTCCACCTCCTGCAGCATGTCGTGCAACTCCTCGACCCTGGCGAACTGCCCGAGGCTGCGCATCACACGCCCCAACTCTTCCTTGGTGATGGTACCGTCGCCGTCCTTGTCGAACAAGCGGAACGCCTCGCGAAACTCTAGGAGCAAACGATAGTATGAAGACACTGTGGATTCCGACACGAAAATAATTTAAATTGTATTGTAAAGATGTGTCCCGAATTGACAGAACCCATGATCGAGCCCAGGAGTGTGCTTTAAAGGAGGTCTATATCCAACAATGGTGGGTTGCTGATGATGAGGATGATAATGTTTTATGTGCCCCACTTAAATATTTTTTATTCTGATTTAAGTTATTTGTTGTTATTATAACAGAAATACATCACTTGTAAAAAAAATCATTTATCTAACTATCACGATTGAAGAGAAACAGCTTGCTGACAGACGGACTGACAGACTGACAGCGGAGTCTTAGTAATAGGATCCCGTTTACCCTTTGAGTGCGGAACCCTAAAAAGGCACCGCGAAGATTTGGTTTATATATTTCTAATAACTTATTCTAATAACTTGCATATGTATCAAATAAGCGAATCAAATACTTATTATTCTTCTTATTATAATACTCATAAATCGTAACATATAGAAAATACCACCAATTTTTCATCTTCCATAAAGCATTGTCTCTTATATACATTTAACACGATATAAAAGGTTTTCACATGTTATCTATCAACTCGTCCCTTATTCCACGTCCAAAAGCGGACGGCAATTTTTCGCCATATAAATTTATAACGGCTTGGACTTGCAGAGATTCTATGAGAAAATTGCCTTCTCTAGTAGAAATAATCCCGTGAAGATTTGCAAAAGACCGCTGGAACGTAATATATTGTGCAATATATGTATTATTTGCACGAATCACCTTAAGTTAGTGTTAAAACTGATATTAAGAAGTATATTACCTAAATATACAATTAAAGTAAATCTAAACTAATCTAAGATTACAGCGGTTCGTAGGAAATTGAGTCGTTTTGTATTAACCCACACTTTTGGAAAATCTTTATAATATAAAGTTTCAATGTAATCAAATGTATGTAGTTATTTATGGGTGTAGAAGATGTGAAGAAAATGTGTATGTTAATAAAAGGGAAAATTACCAAACTTTAATTCCGTTTGTGTGTCTGATTTCACCACTGTGTCAGCCTTTACGAGTGTTGCTGAAACGGTCACTCAATCTTTAGTCACATATCTATGCAGATTGCATAGAAGTGTGATTTGTATGGTAGAATTTTGGATAGTGTTACTGTAGGATAGTAAGGGGGAAATATTTGCTAGCAAGGTCAGCGTGGTCGTTGGGATTTCCTACCCAACACATTTCGCACACAATACAACAATACAGGGCTGTACCTCAGAACGAGAACTTAACAGCAAAAAGGACTAACAGCAAACAAAAGAACTAACAGCAAGTGACAACATACAAATTTTACAGGAGAGGCAAAAATGCATGAGTGAATCCTTGAATGCATTATTGATAATGATGTCATATATGATTTGATATTTTATTAATGAGGCGCCGTACGACTAAATGCTTTATACTATTTTTTAGAATTTGTTCTTGCGATTTTAATGTTTTAGGGAAGATTATTTTGAAAACTGTGGGATTTACTATTGTATGCCTCTGAGGTAGAATTGAAATACGGAGACAAAAAAGAGCATCTATTATTATACAGGTTCATTTTCCTTTTATAACCATGCATAGGTCTAAATGCACCCCTCACCTTTCATCTGGGTTCGGGAGATGCCGGTGGTCTCGTCGACTATGGACGCCTTCCTGTCCAAGTTGGTGTTCACGGCTGGCTTCAGGAAGCTGACCTGGGGCTGCGATCGCGGCGGTGAATTCGATCGCTGGGACAGCTGGCTAAAAGTACGAGATACCGCGTGAAACGCGTGCTTTTTAACCGACTTCAAAAAAGGAGGAGGTTCTATATTTGTTCCAAAGATTTGTTGTTATATATTACATAGATATGAAGCTAGCGCACTGAAAATAAGGCGCTCAAATTACACCAATTGGTGTAATTCTATAAACTTCTATCTCTTTCCGTATAATACGTCCAAGATCATCTGTCAAACTGACTTATGTATGTCAATAACGTAAAGCGGATCAATTTTTAACGTCGCTCAGTACGGACATGCGTCATTATTAAACATCCTTGATTTGTTTGAGAGCATTTATTTTTTTAAATACCTCCATAGATTACTGTCTTCGGCGCCAGGGGTGGTGGGTTCGATTCTCACATGGTACAAGTAGTATTTGTGTGAGTAACAAACAATTGTTCTGGATCTGGCTGGCGTGAGAAGGTAGCAAGCGAGCTGTCGGTTCTCCTGAAAAGATAGCCACCGCCCATGGAAATTTGTAACACCCGTAGGATTGCAGATGCGTTGCCACCTTTTGATAAAGTGGGCCCGGGCTACCTCACTCACCAGACGAAACGCAGCAATACATATGTCACATTTTCTTTTTACTAAATGTTAATTTCACATTATATGTAATGAACAGGTAGTAAACTGTCTACATCATTCATGGCCAGCATTCTTGAGCTTCCTACCAGCATCGCTTGACGTTTAATAGGATTGACTAGTACTATTTAGTGTTCAGGCGGGCTGCCGGATCCCACTGCAGTTTGGCGGACTTCACATATCTTTGAAATACTTCACGATGTTTTCCTTCAACACTAAGCACGTGATAAGTCAGCACTTAAAAGCGAGCGCCAGGACACCAAGCTATCACGGCTCTTCAAAAAGTAGGCAGCTGCAAGATAACTCTTTCAACAAAGAAATTTCTGCAACAACTGCATGCCGGTTTCCAGCTATAACAAAGGATTACCACTCACAACCGAAAGAAACATAATTAATTTTATTAGAACATTTTGAGTGTCTCGCCCGTCTGTTAAAAGTTCCATTCATTCGTTCACGTTCGTCATACAAGTATGCATTTGTGTTTCGATTAAGCAGTCCACAAAAGGCCAGGAGAATGTTCCCTGACGTTATGTTATTGAGAGCTTGTGAGGGCACAATACGCCCGCTTGTCATTGTTTGAGGGCGGGAAATGGTTGGGAATTGTCGGAGCATCGCTTTAGTGGGAATGTTTAAATTGAATTCTTTTGACGGTTTATTGCGGCGGTAATATTTGAGCGGGTCGTTGAGATTTAACATGGAGGCAGTGTAATATAGGTGTAATTCTTTTTAATATAAAAGTTAATCCTTATGAACACACTATTTGCTATAGATACGTATTATGTTTGGTTGGCTGAATTTAAGCGGCATTTTGTGTTACCTTACCATTGACCATCTGTCGCCAAATAAAGTAGTTATCGTTACATTAAGATACCTATCTGAAAAACCTTACCTGGACAAAACACCATATTGATTTAAAAAATAATGATTACGTACTTTCAACATCTTCATTTGTTAAAAGTCAACGCGATTTTGGAAACCGAACTTAATGACAAACCATTAAGATCACCGAGACTTTTGAATATAAATAAAAAAAATCGCATAAAAGTGGTTTTGGCTAGGTTTTTAAGACCACCTGCCTAACGTCAACTCTCTTTGGAAACAAACACCCAGATCCGGAACCGTGGGTCACACACATAATTGTCCTATTGGCAATCGAACCCACGACCCCCGTCAAAGCAGCCGTCAAAACAGCTTAGCAATTGCGCCACAAAGTCATCCATGTAGACAATATATCAAATTGGTTGTAAAAAAGAAATTTCATAACACAATAATTAAACTGAATTGACCTATAAATAATAATCGGCGTCACACATATGTTAATTAAAGTTCCGCAACATACACTTAGCAAGAGCGCTTTCAGCACAAAAGTTAACGAAGAACCCGTGGGCTGGCCAGAACCCACGAGTTGTGATCACATCAAAAGTTGTGTCAGCTTTTTGTGAAGTTAGAGAATGTTTCCGTTCATATAAGTATCTTCAAATGTCATCGGAAAATCGTATCAAATTAAGTACATGATTTACTGACAACGTCAAAACTGCAAAGTAATCACTGCGTCCATATTAATTCGAAGTTTTTGTTAGACATTGTTTTTGAACTTAAATAAATAAATTAATGTAAGGCATTAAATTCAGAATACTTTGTTTTTTGTATTTTTGTTAGAGAGCCATTTGGTACCTTTCGGAAGCGCTGAGGGCAACCGAAGGCGGCCCTCTTGTCTCTGGATGTGACGTATCATCGGGCGGTCCGGGCTCACCACTGCCACTCACTTGTCTTGTCTGGACAGTAACGGAATACAATAATTAGTGCCTAGTAATCTACCATACTGTTTACGGTTCTACCACAGTACACCTGTGTACTGTGGTGGACCCGTAGACAGTAGAAGCTGCGTGGTTGTGCTCTCAGAACACCGGCGTGATGAAGAATCATTTGTTACGCACGGTATCGATAATCGACTGTGTATTAAACGAAAAACGTTTTGACATGCATACCATACAGTTTAGAAGTGTTACTCATTAACTATTAGATAGTAACGCAACGTTAAGTTCATTTTCGGTAATTTGACATATAAACACACAACGATGGCTACGTAATAATATCTATAAATAGAACTTCTTTCGTGTGTTATTCGTGAATATTTTTAAATGTTTTCAAAGTTACTTATTAGCTGCTAAAGTGTCGTTTATCAAATAATCTAAAGCGCGGATAGATACAAGAGCTTACTTCGATAAGACTTAGGGGACTCGGGAAATCAAGTCAAGGTCGCACAAAATGACTTAAGAAATCTTTGTTCGTGCTTGTCACTTCACGAAACGCGAACGTAATTTAAATTCTGAAATGCTCCTACGCTCTACAGCTTTACTTCCAGAAATTTCCACTCGGTTTTAATTTAATAGGTTAATTGAAACATTTAGCTGCAATCCCGCATGCGATTGCGCGGTAAGCTGGTGAGTAACGGTTTACCTGGCAAACCGATAAAGTAATAGAGCGGTTATTTCCTCCTGCAAAAGTTTTACCTATTGATTTTTTCTAATATCACATTTTTATTATCATATTAAAAATCGTAACAATTCATATTTATAATAAGGTCTTGACGTATATTTGAGACATTTTGCTTTTAGATGATATGAACGTACTATTATACGGTATTATAAGCGGTATAAAATCTCAGCAAATTACTAATCCGATATTATAATTACAAATAATTTAATTCTATAGAGAAATCACTAATGGATTAATCAATCGTCGAATTTATTAGCATATGATATGAGAAGTTATTGGAATAGGCTATGGTAATTATTTTGTAGGACCGCATTTTGTCCGATTAACTTACCATGATGCCTTTTAGCTGATTCACCAGCGGCGAATCAGCGAAGAAGTTGTTCACCGCGGAGAATATGTTTGTGCGTTTGCCCGACAGTGTGCAGCAGGCGTGTGCGTGTGCACGCCCGCTAGTCTGCCTGAAAGATAGCCACGTTTAAAAATGGAACAACATTCATTTTTACACAAGAACGTCCATTTTTATTGACGAAAAACAAAACAGACTTCAAATATCTCGCTCTGTATTCATTTTACAATTGATTTTCAGGAGTTCCAATGAAATTAATATGGGACCACATGGGAAGCACCAGCTTGCAAATAAATAAAGAGTCATCAAAATCCGTTCACCCAGTCGAAATGTATGAGATAACAAACATAAAAAACAAATATAGTCGAATAGAGAACCTCCTCCTCCTCCTCTTTTGATGTCGATTGAAAAAATAACTGCATATGAACGAACATAACTTATGTTCATTTTAAAATTGATTTCTGCCGCTTTTGAAGTTCTTCTTCAAACTTTTGAACTAGTTCTGGTTTGGCAGACTATGAATTTGTTTCATTTAGGATTTCCACACGATGATATACTGAAAGGAAATAAAAAATAATATGCCCTTTTATTATCACGACTTTTGGACAACAGGACTGGATCTTTTCTCGTTAAAAGATTAGGCAGAATGTAGCGAAGAAATTTAGCTAGCGTTCTCGACCAATAATGTTTTTATAAAGAAGACGCATGTCCATACTGCGCGGCGTTCAAAACTTGTTTCGCTTTACATTGTATGACATATTATATGCATAATTGAATGTGACAGATGATAACAGATGATACTTATGGCACGGAAAGATATAGCAGTCTATGGAATTGTAATCTATTGCCAATTGGTGTAATTTGAGTGAGTACATTACACTACGACCCTTAAGAACCAAATTGTAGTGATCTATTGAAAGAAGTCGAAACATTAGCCGTTTTTAAATCTTCGCGTGCTCTAAATTAACGGTATCATATTATGTAACAGTAATGTTTTACTCTACAGATTTTTTTTTTTTTTTTTTTACTTTACAGATCCGACGGACTTGAGGTGGCCTGAACCTCGGCGTACTATTATTACTAACAGTATTGTTTAGAAATGGAACATGATTACTTACGATAGGTATTACACGTAGTCGGTATTACACGTCATATTACAGAACCAAAATTACTGTTTCGAACTATTGAAGGTTGCAAGCGAAGCTACAGGCAACAGCTATTTCAATTCTTATAAACGTTCAGTTTAGCTTAAAAGCTTTGATCGATGCACTAGCACGAACAACGCTGCACGGCGAACGCTTTTGGCACAAATCCAAACTTGTTGCTTGCAATACGGAACTTGTTTTCTTCTATGTTTTCCTAATTCAAACATTTTTTGGCGTATAGTCTTAAAAGTAAGTAAAAACGTTGTCATTTGATGTCTTCATTCATACAATCTTCTCGATTCTGTTGCCGAGAACTAGCCTGTGCTACTACGTATTAAAAGGAAAAACTGACACGCCCAACATTAGTCTTTGGATTGATAACATATTAAAATTATCTAAAACTCAAATAGCAACGTCTACGACCGCGTAACTAATATTCATAAGTATTTTTACGTCTACCCACATAAACAGTATATTATATTCCAGTAAATATGTTCAACAATATGTATATTCCACTATACTTATATGAATTATCTATGAACATAATCGAAATGGTAGTAAATGAAACCATTAACAATTCTGCGCAATAATACTTCAGTTGTTATAACCGCAATTTTTTTATTTTTTTATTTTTGGAGTACATTTATCATGTGTTCGACGGAGACGATTGTGTGTTATCCTGCAAATCTGACAAATAGATGGAAAAGAATAAAAATAGTTCTAAGATATATGAAGTCGTGAAATCTGATTCGCGATGGGGTCACGTGGAGGAATATCTTGAGGAATATCTCTAATGCCTTGACCACAGTGTTGGCCCTGTCAGCACTGGAATTAACTTTGCTTCATTTAAATTAAACTTTTTACTTATTCATTTCATTCATTCTCTCATGATTTATGTATAATCCAATACTAGGGAGACCTTGCAAAACAACCCACATCAATGTAAATTTATTTTCCACGAAAAAAATAAAGTAGTCTAATGCAAAATAATCCATAAAAGTAATTCTCAAGTTGTTTTTCTTATACAACCGAACAACTCGATACTTTTTAACTACCTAGGTCACAAGTAGATTTATTTGTTATTTTTATTTATTTCTATAACTTTTGATCAAAGAAAAATCATTTTTACTTCGACAATTCAGGAAATTCATATCAAATGAAATATATATCCAAATGATGTACTACTTTTAAATTTGTAGTAATTTCTTTTAAGCTTATTAGATACACACCCTATAGATGTCTATAGGTACATGTAGCAATACAAAAAAAAATTCTTTTATCAAGATGCTTTTCTTTTCTTTTCTGCTTTTCTTCAATAAGTAAGGAAATATCGCTTCAACCAAATTGCTGCGAATTAATTATATAATACTTAACAATTCTTTCTCATAAAAACAAATAAAATGCCTACGTAATCCTCTACTTTAATACTAATAAAACTTCAATGAAATGTACGGAACAAAGAATTAAACGGCATTAGTAACGTTCACTGAAGGTTGCAGCATCAGATCAAAAATGACTTTAAAATGATCAGAATCATCTTGGCTCACCTATTGCAATCCAGTGGTAACGGTTTCCGCTCGTCGACAAAGCACCACCAGGTCGGTCGGTGCAACGAGGAACGGTCTCCCAAGGTTGGCTCCAACGTACTGACTGGGGCAGGAACTGGATTCTGTAGTGATGTCAAAATTTGCGCGCATGCGATTTTGAGCGCGGCACCCGTTAAGCTTCGCTTTCATTACTACGAAGATGATTAATGTTTTCCTCGTTCACCAATCGTCCTTTTATACATACATATCGTACGACGCTCTTTTTTCTGTTTTCGTCATCATCACGTTTTCAGATACACATGCCTCTCCCATAGATTTCATCTTAGCTGGTTGACAAGAGCAGTTATTTTTTCCAGGTTTTATACATATACATATAAAACCTGGATTTGTTCAAAATTATCCCAATAAAATTAAAATGTCAATTAAATTAAAAGTGGGATGCTGCGTTAACAGAAACAACCCTTAAATTATGTTCAATACACGTCCTATGCTCGAGTTAAAATAATATTGCACAGCGTTGGGCATTTATAAGGGTGGAATGCTTAAATCGGAGAGAGATATTTCGGCAAACATTGAAAGGACGTCGAAGTTCATTTCACATCCACAAAAGACATTCATTACTAATATGAGTATTACTAATTAATTGCTCCGAATTCGGTGCCCTTGGTGTGATTTAGGCCCTTTTATTTATATTAGGACAGTCCGATGACTATTTTTTTTATTAGTTATCGGTTTATAAATAGTTCTGTAGGCACGTGTTCTCAGTTATTAGCTTCGCAAGTAAGTTTTTTCCAAGTATAACCTTTTATTGGGAGAAGTAGCAAGTATTGGCATGATGCAGATAACTACTTCGGGTCTGGGTTTTCGTACAAGCACAATTTTCGTATCTTAAACATCTCTGCAATGGAGGATATTTTCAACTGCATCCTACAGTAAGGTCTTAATATGTACTAATTTGATAACGGGCATCTTTTAATGAATAGTTTAATTAACACACCAGATGTCTTTTTTTCGAGCTCCAATTCGTGCACACGGGTCGATGTTTATCTAAATCTAAGCAACTATTTTCAATTCACGTAATTTCTATAGTTCTCAAAGCCAATGTGATGATAAAATGTTCACTTTTATCCAAATTTTATTATATCAGATAATAAAATCTTTAATACCTCAAACTAAATGATCATCTTAATCTTTTCAACCAAAAAAATAATAAATCTGCTAAAGAAAAAATGCTTAACTTGTTATTTCAAATGCCAACAATACATGTATGTTATGTTTAGTATATAGTGCAAAAACGAATGGGTTTTAGAACCTTTTGAAGCTCGCTTATGGCCCATTTACACGATGCCATTTTCTTGTACATACAAGAGCAAAAATTGAATGCAATAAGTTGCACGCAATAATTGACCATCAAGAATTGTAAGCAACAGTTTACACGCAGATATAGTAAAAAAAATTGAATGCGATTATTGTATGCAAGTCTTGACAGGAAATAATTGCAAAGGTCTTTTGTTTACACCAATGCAATTATGTCTAGGCGATTATTGCTTTCAAGTTTTGCCTTGTCTAAACACATGCTTGTATGTGCGTGTACAATTTATTGGCGTGTTGCTTCAAGTATTGCACGTATTTGCGTTGACAAATTTTTCATGCAAGTTTTGAACGTTTTACAAAGGGCTGTTTTTTTAAAAAAAATGGCTCAATAATAAGTGTTCAAGTTAGATTATGCTGATTAAATATATTTCATTGAGATTTATTTATTATGATCCATATATTATTATTCATATTTTTATCCAACTTTTTTTACGGCCTTTTCTCAATATTTCTATCCTCAAAAGAACAGCAATGATTAAATACCCTCACTCATTGCACTAATTTTTGCAAAGTAAGAGAGAATGCAATTGAATACAAGAATTGCTTAAGAAATTATTGTGTGTGCTGTTTACACCAAGGAAAGTTTTGAAACAAAACTTGAAGCAAGTCTTGTTCAACAGTCAAGAATGTTATGTGCTGTTTAAACAATGCAACTCATTTATTGCTTCAATTTAATTGTATACAACAGGCAAGAAACTTGCACCGTGTAAATGGGCCTTTATGTGCTGTTTAGACAATGCAACTCATTTATTGCTTCAATTTAATTGTATACAACAGGCAAGAAACTGGCACCGTGTAAATGGGCCTTTATTCGCTATGGGACCGCGTCCTATGCTTTCTGTATAGGATACCAATATGTCTCTCCAATTACAAAGACACGAGTGTATTTCCTCTTCTTTACGTAGATACAAATATACAAATGTCACATTTGTCATCTACTTAAAGAAGTGGATACAAAATAACTTTATTAACTTTAGTGTTCCAACGAGCCAACTTAAATCATTAAAAAAAAGAGTCAAAAATAAAATCTATGGTAGACTAGGAAATCCAAAAATCGCTTTAACGAATTGAAGCTAAAAATATTGTAAATACGTAAGTTATTGTGATAAAGCTGTCATCAAGCTTTTATAACTTACTAAGTAATGCGTGAAGAAGGGTTATTTTAAAGTTTATAGAGGGTATTTAATAAACTTGTAACAGTAGCAAAAACTTATTACTACCTACATAATTATGTATTAAGAAACAATTGTGGTAGGACCATGCAACAGTGTTCACTTTTGCACGAATGGGCAGGTCCGTCCGGGCAAGTACCACGACCTCACAGAAATCCGGCGTAAAGTAGAAGTGTTACAAATTCTGCATTGCGTTTGATGAATGAGGAAGCCGGGGCCCACTTTATTTAAAGGTGGCAACGCGTTTGCAACCCTACGGGTGTTACAACTGTCTATGGGCGGCGGTTATCACTTAACATCAGGTGAACCGCCAGCTCATTTGCAGTGGCAAAGTGTTCTCACATAAAAAAAGGCGTAGGGTTTTTTTACGCGTCTGCCTGCCTGAACCCCGTAAACTCAAAAATTACTGAACGGATTTTCATAAGGTTTTAACGGAGTAACTAATGAGGAATGTTTAGGTCTGTGTATAATTATTCATTAAGTTTCTTTGAAAATTGGCATAATTATGATGATTGTTGAAGATGTCGGAAAATGCGTATAAGATGGCAGTTCAGGCGCATACAATACGACTAGCTTATTAAAGATTGTAGGCGTATAATATGCTCCGCTTCTCATAACTAGACGAGCTAGTTAGGCGTTAGTTCTAAAGGCATACGGCATCATAGAATGTCAAAGCAAATGTATAAAGCATCATCCCGCTTTTAATTAAGCCAACCAAATGTTCTGATTAAAATTCATCGTAGGTACCTTATTCTTTAATACTTTTTCCAACAAAAGGTTATTTGTAAATTAAGACAAATAATTTTTCATACAGGCATTTTAACCATAAGTATATCACGACCTTTTGGGCATTAGGCTGATGTTAATGTTGTTTTTTTTTTGTATTTTAAGTTTAATGTTCTGCAACAAATTTTGCATAAAAGTAATAAAGTAGTTAAAATAACATGAGAATTTTTTTTTAAAGTATGAAGAGATAAAATGTTTATCATTACTTTCAAAATACACAAACTATATAAAATACAATTACGAGGGTGTTTAAAAAGCTAGCGGAATGATGGGTATGAATGGGTTACATTGTTTTACCTGCCACTTAGTTGTGTCACTCATTATCGACCGGATTCAATATTTTCTCTAGTTACCAAATCTATGTGCAGATAGAATATTGGCCGTAAGACTACTATAAATTAATCATCAGTAAGTACATAGTCTAAAACAAAGTCGTCCCGCTGTCTGTCCCTATGTATGCATAGATCTTTAAAACTACGCAACGGACCTTGATGCAGTTTTTTTCACTAGATAGAGTGATTCAAGAGGAAGGTTTATATGTATAAAATACATTGCACCCGTGCGAAGCCGGTGCGGATCGCTAGTATGAAATATGAAGATACGGACGTACAGTCCAATAAACAAGTCAGACCGTAAGAAAATTTACACCACAGAGAAAATTGAGTTTCGATATATAATCAAATTCCTTACCAAGCAGGGCATACTAACTTAAAAGCAAATAAAACCTCCTCAGACTACTTTGAAAGAGGTGTCTTCTATATGTGGGGTGGGCCGTGGTCAAATGTGAAATATTTGTATTCAAAAAACGAGCGTGCCGTAACAATTACCCAGATTTAACTGTTAGCGATAGTTATCTGTTCCCCATTCTCTTTTAAAAATTAAAAAAACACTTCGAAGAGAGAAATACATAGTTAAGGAATAATATATTCTCTAATGAGGAAGAAAAATTATTTTGAGTTTTATTTTGTATTCTTTACCCTCCATCAAGCGAACTTTTTGTCCCACCCTTGGTACCTATGTATGAGAACCGGAACTGTTCTCGCGAATCCATGTGGGCTGACGGAAAACAATATGAAATTTCTCTTAATCTGAGTCGTAATCGTAGTTAGTATCACATTTAATTTATTCACTGCTAATTCGACGCGATTTCAACGCAACTTCTTTCTGAATATATCTCTTTCAAATATACCTACAGTTTTCATTAATTCGCTTACTTAGTGGAGATTTATTAATGTTATAAATAAATTGTGTTTTCCAAATTGCAAACAATGATTTGATTGATAAAACCGCAAAACTTTAATAAGCACAATGTAAAGTAAACATCTCGAACTAAGCAATTTTTTAAAAACTGCAAATAATAAATAATCTTAAAATCATTAATTTGTACGTTACTAATTTTTTTTATATAAGTTGATGCGTTTATCACCTAGTTAATCCGGAATATCTATCTTACATAATATATAACTTGATCAGAAGTAATAAAAAATCGTTAGTCTGTTCTCGCCCTTATTCATACAATATCGTACATTCGTTCCCGTTCCGTATAGGCGCATGCGTTCGATAACGCAAGCCGGCCAGGCCAGGCACCCGGCGATCACGCCACCATTCATTCCATTCCAGTGTCGAACGACATCGAGAGCGCACGCTTCTACTTTCCGTCTAATTAAAGCTAATTTTCTCCAACAAAATGGAATTCATCGGCAAGAAATATAAGATGACCTCTTCGGAGAACTTCGATGACTTCATGAAGGCGATTGGTAAGTGATTTTGTAACGTACTTTCAATGACCGGTACCTAGTTTTACGAGAAGAAATCGATGCATACCGACCGGCAAGTTTGTCGACCACGCCATCTCTCTTTTTTTTTTCCTCGCGCTACCCGCTATTATGTTTCTCATTGGAAAATAAATATGTACAGGTATTTGTAAAAGTTTTAGCATTAGAATTCAACGCCTCTACTTGAATTAACTCCACATTTTTGAAGTTTGTTTTATGTACCGTTATAATTCATTGCTTTTATTGTACGCATCCTTTCAGTGAGAAGAACCGAAGCGGGAAAATTAACTTTTACATTTTCTCCTCAGTCGTTTAGGTTTATAAATAGTATAATAATAAGAAATAAATAAATATAAATAAGAATGCGTGTATCTTTGAATTACACGCATTCTTAATTTTTATTTCATTAAAAACGTTATTGGTGTATTTAAACTTATTTTATTTATATTATTCATTGTTTGATTAATGCTGTAGATGTTTTTGCAGCTTCATCTTTATCTTAAATATTATAGTTTGTTTTCCCTTTATTTTCTATTTAAAAATTGTCTTAATTTTACACCTGTTATAACATAAATGGTGTAAAACAATGGTTCTTCGTCATTTAGTAATAGTAACACAGAATGTTATCTGGAGACTGAATATAACATGCTAACTTATATTTAACAAACATGCAGTCATTGTTTCCATGAACTTTGGAGTGAACATGCAATAACTTCGCTGTAGAATTTTTTAAGGAAACTCGATTGTTTAATATTGAATTAGAAATAAACTGTGGGTCGAAGTTCAAAGGGGCATGATTTAATTGCATAGACTTTTTTTTTCGTACGTCTGCTTTTAACATTCCCTCGTTAACATTAGCTTCAACGAGTTTTTAATGCATTAAGGGTTAATTTTCCGTTAAAAATAGTTTTTTTTTTTTTTTATTGCGTATGCCTGTCCTATGGAGTCTGCAAAGCGTTCGAAACATTTGAAATCAAACTGTAAAATCTCACGCATATACAAAAGAAATAATTTATATCTTCGTATATAGGCAGATATGATATATTATATAGGTTAAGAAACATGCTTAAAGTAAAATCTGCAAAAAATCTAATAGTATGCTCAATTGCAATTTTAGGTTTCAGTTGCTGTCCTAACTTTTATCTGAATTTGAATAAACTAATATAACTGTTTCTGATATTCTTATGTTATTGAATGGTTCACGTTTGCGATCCTCTGGACTTGGATAAATAACGGCTTGATGCCATGCATTTCTGCATTTAATTCTTGGCTTCGGTTTTAAATATCTTTTTAATGAATTATGAAGCTACTCTTCTGCACTTACTTTGACTATCGACGTATATACTAAATCTTTGAGTAGGTATTGCATTTTATAAAAAATTTTATCGCATACATTTTTCTTTGCCTTTGTGTACTAGTAAGAGTTATTATAATCGCAACCTACTATTTAGCGGTCAGTTCTTTTTACGCCCCCGGTGATCACAAACCTGGTTTAATTTTAATACAGCTACCTATAAATAATTTCTACCTTTCATACTAACTAGCCTTGGTGTACTTTCTTGTTATAACAAAATCCTATGTTCCAAACTTGTATGTATATTATTCTACAGCTTTATATGAACAGTGGAGACAACGTTTAGGCTTTATTGGTTGTTTTCTAAGACCCTAACAAAACAATCTATTGATATAAGCTTCTCTCTATTGACAGAAAATACATTAATCTAACCAAATAATATAAAAAGGAAATTTAAAGGCCACAATAGAGGTTTCGGCATTTTTAAAATTTTTGTATGTGACAAAGTGGCAAACGATCTGGCGGTTCACCTGATGTTAAGTGATTAAGGACTGTTCTTGCCATAGCGTGGAGAGAAACCTGGAAGCTATTTCGGCAATTCCGTACCCTCCGTTGTACTGCGAATAGTTTACTTTACTAATGCTTAATAATTCCTTTTATTTATTTTATTTTTCCTCATTTGTACGGCAGCGGTAAATGTTAAACTATTAACTTTCGGATGGAATATATAACCTAATATATTATTTTCTCGTTTAATACCCGACTTATTGAGCTTAGTTTTGTATGCTCAACGGAAGTAGGCACATGAGAAATTACAGAAACTATTTGGACTTGACGTGACATAAAACTTTTTGTCGACTTTTTGCTGTTCATCTTTCAAAAATATCGCTTTGTTAAATTTTAAAAGTTATCAAATATTATCTTTACTATCTTTCGCACATTTAACACACCCTTTCGAAGAATAATGTTGAAAAGATAAACATGAAGAAGGTTTTTGTTATCTTTGACGGATTTATCGATGCATCACCCGCGAACCGATTGCAGGATTTGCCGAAACACTGTCATTGCTTTTTTTTTTACGAAAAATGACTGTTTCGCTACGGTAAACAAAACTGATTACATCATAAGTCTAACACAGGATAATGTAGATATATATTTTCATGTGAAACACTTTCGCCTAGGCATGAGATACACCTGCAACCCGGCCTCAAAGGTACGGGTATCGCCGTATACCCGGTGCTAAAACCCAGTATCAAAATTACCTCTAGGTATTAGTTATGTTCAGGCCTCCTTTTGTAGACTCGGTCGAATCAAACGAATTGAACCTATGGCTGGAATTGGAACATTTAGGCAATCAGTTTTTTTAAATTGAGATTTAATCAGTCTAAACTAAGCTCCATCTTTACTAACGTAAAGAACCCTATTATCAAAAAAAAGTAATTAAAAATAAATATTACTGTTTAACCTTATTACGCAATTATTTATCTACCTAATTGTCATAGAAATAAAGAATAAATTAATCTCAAGGAATTATTTGGTATAAAATGCCTAAATCATACGTTTCAATGCGGGCATGATCGGGAAGAGCCGCCGTAAGCGTTCGCGGAACTTCGTACATATTCGGCCAGCGGGTTGTCGCGAGCGTTATATACCGCCAGTCGCCACCGTCGGACGAGGCGGCCATACCTATCGGGTATGGAACGGGCCTCTGCCGTACATACCCGGTGTGCGTACTGGTATGTTCATACTGGGTATTTATACCTGTTCCAGTATATACGCCTCATCCCTACTTTCGACAAACAAAAATATGGTACCTTTGAAATATTTTTATCTATACTCGCTGGCAAACAACCGATACTGCTGTCACGAACATGTAGGAACTGTTGAATTTCTCTGTATTTAAAAGCGTTACGTATAGTCCTAGAATACAACAGTCCTAGACACTGAAAGTGAAAATATCATCATAGTATATATAAAACGAAGTCGTCCCGATGTATGCTTTTAGATCTGTAAAACTACGCAACGATCTTGATGCGCTTTTTTTACTAGATAGTAGTGATTCAAGACGCAAGTTTATATATGCAATAAATTAAACGCGAAGCCGGGATTAACTTATTGGGTCGCTAGTATAAATATAAAACAAAAGAAGGGATCAAAGAAATAATAAAGATGAATAAGTAAATTTTCCTTCCTTCAAACTTGCGAAAGTTTACGGTACAGCAAATTAAAAGTTAATAAAAAAAATTGATACAGAAACATAAATCAATTAATTATAAGTACATAAAAAAGTACATTATCAAACAAATTGAAATTCATAGCAACAGTAACCATATCAATAACAAATACTTACATGACCTTAACTTATTTGTATCATGACATTGTAATTGTTGACTTGAATTGATAACACGTAAAAGTGCATTGACTTTACATTTATCGTTATCAAAGTTAGTTTAAAAACATTTTTAATTAAAACCATAAACATTAAAACTGCAATTAATTAGGGTTGTCGGAAAATGAACAATGCATTTATAACTTGACGGCCCCGGTTTATTTAAAACCGTAATATAGATAGAATAAAAGTCTAGTTTTCGTGTCCTAGTATCAAATTTGGTATGAAACCCTACGTTATTATTATGTTAAGTTAAATATTACCTTTACCCAATGACACAAAAAACAAGCATCGCTTTGATGGTCATAAATAAAATTTATTTTCGAATTTGAAAAAAAAAAAAAGAATGACTCTTTTTATCTCGTAACGATTCTGTCTGATCAGTTTGTAGTGGTTCTGTTAGGAGACCATAGACCATAAGTTATTTACATATTATAATTTATAAAGTATTTCATAGAACAAACAAATCGCAAGCATGGCATTCCCTTTAATTGTGAAGAGATGCAAAGGAATGCCAAGACAGCTAACGCTTTAGTTACAATTCTTATTTATCAATTATCGAAACATGAACTCATCAAATGATTTGATTCAAATCATCTGAGTCACTCTATTATAAATATTTTGATTCGCAAACAGTGCTTTGTAAAGCTACACCAAGCTACACCTACAATTCGGTTTGTGGAAAATATGCTGATGTTTCTTTTCCCCACAATTACCTTATTTTCCTGTAAAGATAAAGGTGGGCCGAGAAATATTGGCATAAATGTGTGTTGACATAAAAAGTATAAAAAATAATAATTGCGTAAATTACTAATTCTTCATTAACAAGTACGTGCATCTTCCCGTCACGTTAAGTGGAAGTATCACTCATCAAGGGAAACGCGAAATGTTTCCCCTGATGTGTGAGGTCCCGGGACCCACTTTTTTAAAGGCTGTAAAAGCCGTCGGGTGTTGTAGTTGTCCATGGCCATCATGTGAACCCCCTGCTCGTTTGATACCTCGTCGCAAGTAACCCGCCAAGTGTCTGACTCGCGCACGAATGTTTCCGTACCATTAATTATGAAAAACGGCAAAAAAAATCATGTCGAAAAACGGCAAAACAAATCATGTCTGTCGTATGGAAGCTCCACTTAAATATTTTTTATTCTGATATTTAGTAGGTGTTTTGTGTTATAGCAGCAACAGAAATACATCATCTGTGAAAATTTCAACTCTTGTATTAACTGATGTTTTTGCTTTCAGTCCCGAGACTATTAAAGCTTCATCTGACGTAGGCTTCATCTGACGTAGTAATTTCAA